CGAGAGCCTGACACCGCCCGCCTAGCGCCCGCCAATCCCGGAGCCCGCCACCGCCCGAGCGACGGCAGCACTCACCAGTAAGCGTCCGATACAGTGGGGATCGACAGCACTACTAACCAATCAGAGAGAGACATCTAGAGCGACGTTGATCCGGCCAATAAGGCTATTAACTGTCACTGATGGACAGTAGCGGGCACCAACCGAAAGCCCACTGAGGAATGAAAGACGTGTTCACCAGCCAACTGGCAGGAAGTAAAGTCCCGCCCACGGGGTGGTTGATGGACAGCAACAGGAAGCTGGGTGGGGTGGGGCTTGGGGAGGAGTGTTTCCGTATTGGTCGTGGTTGACCTTCCCCCCACCTCTAACCCAGAAGACGAGTGATAGATCTGCCCTAAAGCCAATCAGAAGTCTTCAGGATGAGGCCGCGCAGTGCCCTATAAAAAGCATACACTTTGCACCTTAGAGGTGCAATCTCTCTCAGGTGAGCCAGGGCTGTTCTCCTGGTCTGCTGCTCCCCTCCACTCCCTGCCTGGTGAGTGGACCGACACCGTCTTCTGTTCAGTCGCTTGGCCGCCATCCCCTTGTGAGAGGCGACTTTGTAAAGTGAGGCCCCGGGTCCCGACACCATAGCGGAAGCTGGGATTGCGCGACTCCTCCGAGATGGGATTCTCATCGTATCAGCTAAGCCCCTCATGATTCTCACCAGGTTTTGGCAGCTGCAGTATTCTCCCATCCCTCATCCTTGACACCCAAACGGAATCACCCGAACTTTGTTTTTTTTGTTTTGTTTTTTGTTGTTTTTTGAGACGGGGGGTCTCGCTATGTAGTTCAGGCTGGCCTCGAACTCAGCGATTCCCCTGCCTCAGCCTCCCAGAGTGCTGGAATTACAGGCACGCGCCCCATCACGTTCGGCTTCTGAAATCTTTCCGAAAGCAGATTACCGAAGGAGCCGCCTCTCCTTACCGGACTTGGCACTCGGGGGCCGTGTGTGGAATCTGCATTAACCGGTGCCCCAGTGCGCTCTGGAATTGGGCGAGCCCTGCTTGGTCTCTGGATGAGAAAAAGTACCAGGCATCCCTGTCTTCTCTTCAGGCCTCTCCTCTAGCCTGGCATTATAGAGAGAGAGGCTCAACCTGGCTTCCAGACCTGCACGTCCCACTTCTGGTGAGACCTTCTTAGGTAGGGCACCGAAACTCCCAGAGCCCTGTGTCCTCACCTGTAGAGAGGCTCGTCGGTCACACCCATACCCCACCCAGTGGCCTTTCCAAGCCTTTCCCCACAGCGAGATAATGTGTTTTCCGCCCTGATCTGGCGAGCTATGCACGTAAGGGAATGTGTAGCAAAGTTTCCTGAAACAATACTCATCCTTACTGCTGGTGATGTGCTGACTTCCTATCTAAATATACATCGGACTGAGGGATCGAAGCCAAGCCCCTCACTCAAGGGACTCGAAGGCCAGGCCTCCTTGCATGTTGGCAAGCCCTGCTCCACTGGAGTTAGGCTGCCAGCCCTGGTACAGCTTCTGTTCTGTGCTGTCTTAACACTGCTTCCCTTCTGTCCTTCTCAGCTTACATCCTTTCTTTCATGATCATGACTAGCAGTATGAAAAGCACTGTCAGGAAGCGTTGGTGTGCAAGTCAGGCATGATGGCACACACCTGTCACCTGAGCACTCAGGAGGCTGAGGCAGGAGGATCACCGTGAGTTCAAGGCCAGCCTGGACTACATAACAAGACCCTGCCTCAAAAACAAAAAAGAAGGTTCCACCCTAGTTTAAATGATTTAATAATTTAAGTGAGACCTTGTCTCAAAATGTAAAAAATGAAAAAAAAAAAAGTAAAAAGCGGGGGCTGGGAGATGTAGCTCATTTCAAAATACTTGGGTTCAATCCCCAGTGCCACAAAAAATAAAAATACAAAACAAACATGAAGCAAAGTGCTTAGTATACAGTACATTACCAGTCTGCCCTTTGAAAAGTAAGGCATAGGAGACAGTTGAGGTGGCACATGGCTGTAATCCCAGCCCTCAGGAGACTGAGGCAGGAGGGTCTCTGAGTTCAAGGCCAACCTGGACTACAAAGCAAGACCCTGTCCCAAGCTATAAGGAGGTATCACTCTTATGGTTAAGATCCTTCCCTGGGTCCCTGTGCCCTTGGATAAAGCCCAAAGTCCTTCCTCAGCAAAGAAGAAGAAAATTCACAATCCCTGAAAGACTTCTTTTCACTGGTTCCCTTCCTACCATACCCTTTCTTTCTCCTGGTAAACTCCTATGCATCCTTCAAGACCTTACCCTGCCCTGCCAAGTATAACCCTCTGTGCTGTCCTAGGACTCCTCTTGGCACCTGCCAAGCCCCCCCCGTTCCAACTCCCCTAAAAGTCTGAGCTGCAGTAGTCTTGAGGTCAGGAAGTGTTAAAAAACCAATTTTTGCGTGCAGTTACATCTACATGGGCTTGTATCTGTGGGCCAAACATTGTTTTCAAAGTCAGATTGCTTCACTGTCAGACCAAGGACTCCACCCCGGTACTCCAACCAGATTCTGTGCCGGGGTGCTGGGACTTGGGGGAGGGGGTGGGTGGGAGTGGGGTGACATATCCTGCTGGGCCACAGCCAGACCTCTTCTGGGACAGAAGATGGTGGTCACTGCTCTGACTCCAGGGGTCCCGTCTTGAAGAGAGTAGCGTGCCTGTGGGTGTGGCGACAGGGTAAGGACTGGGAGGACTCCACCAGGGCTTTGGAATTACTGGAATGGTTGTGCCCTTTATTTTGTTGTTGTTTTCGTACTGGGGATTGAACTCGGGTCCTTACGGTTTTTGTTTTTTTGTGTGTGTGTTTTTTTGTTTTTTTGTTTTGGTACCGGGGATTGAAATCGGGTCCTTGCCCTTGCAAGGCAGGCCACTGAACCGCTGAGCTAAATCCCCGGCCCCTATTTTATTGTTTTGTTTTTCAAGACTGAGTCTGGCTCTGTAGCCCAGGTTGGCCTCGAACTCGTGGTGATCCTCCTGCCTCAGCCTCCCGAGTGCTGGGATTACAGATGTGTGTCACCAGACCTGTTGCTTTCAACAAATTCTGAAGTCTTTGTCCCATCCCAGGGGAAGCCAGGTGTCCAATAAAAAAGGCTGTCTGGGACAGGCTCCGGACAGCTGGACACCCTGGCCCGTGATCCTCCACTGCGTGCTCCGCCCCCAGCCCTGCAGCCCCGCCCCTTCCTGCCCCGCCCACCCTACCTGCTGTGGTCTTCCGGTTCCGGCTCCACAACTCCCGGGCTGTGGTGTTTCCAGCTGCTACTTTTGCCATGTTCCTCCTGGCCCATCGCTGCGTCGTCCTCCTCCTCTTCCGGCTGTCACTTTCTCCCCATTTCTAATCTGCAAAGCGACTTCACCACTACAAAGTACTAGGCGAGTACTGTACCACTGAGCTACGTCCCGGCTCTTTTTAGTTTGCGACACCTTCTCACCCAGTTACCTAGACTGGCTTCAGACTTGCGGTTCTCCTGCCTCGGTTTCCTGAGTAGCTGGTATTAGGAATGTGTGCCACCGCTCCTGGCTTCCACGTTTGCCTTCTCCACCCCTGCACTTTCCATTCCCAGCACACTGATGTGCACAGTAAATGTTGACTGAATGACTATCCCTTTAATGTTTCTATTACCCCTTCTTTTTCAGGGCCAGCTCCCTCCACCTCCACTTCACTTTTTCTCTGTCTCCCTCTTAAGGCTGGCCTTGAACTCGCTGCGATCCTCCTGCCTCAGCCTCCTGTGTTGGGATTATAGGCGTGCGCCCCTATGCCTGGCCACTTGAACCTTTTAAAGATGGCTCCTTTGGCCTTCCTTAAGGATTTCCCAGGATCCCCTGCGTCTCCCCTTCTCCCCTCTGGTCTTCTGTTTGCGCGCCTTTTCCCTCTGCCTCCAGGGGGGGCTTTCCAAGCCCTCCCTGCCCTCTCCTGCGCAGGCTTGAGAAGGATCCGAGGACAGGCCAAGGGTGCAAGCATCGCAGTTGCTTGCCTTCCGGATCTCAGTGACCCAGGCTGCCCCAGGCATCTGAGCCATGAGAAGTGGCAGAAGCTGGGACTGCGACCCCTCTGCTCACTGCCTGCCCTGCCCAGCGGGCCACGCCTGACTACACCCTGCTCCTCTCCTGTGCCCGCTGCTCTTCCCAGGCCTGTGGCCGCCACCAACTGCCACAGAACCTTCCTGCAAGGACATTCTGCAGGCTTCTCCCTCCTCCTCTCCTGGTTCTGGCTTGGGGCTGGGGTCTGTGGGGCCAGGGGAGGAAGGACTGGGTTCGGGGTGAAGCCCTTGGGGCTGAAGGCCAGGTCCCCCCCCCCACCACCACCACCTTTGCGTGTCACCGCCAGGGGGCGCCCACGGCATTCCCAGAGCACGGCCCAGTATCTAACTGGTCCTGGAGACTCCGTGTCACAGGTAGGGACTGGGGCCTGCTGTGCTCTGTCCCTCTCCACCCTCTGCCGACCCAGGCACAGCTCCACGAGGCTGTCCACTCTGCTTCTTGGAGTCCAGCGACAGCGGCTGGGCGTGGAGGCACACGCCCGTCATCCCAGGACTCAGGAGGCTGAGGCAGGAGGGTCACTGTGAGTTCGAGGCCAGCCTGGACTACTGGAATCATCCTCAGGGACAAAGGCGGCATAACCCCTCTCTGTGGCTCTCTCTCCCTTTGGGGCCCTGAACTTTCAAAGCCACGCCTGGTTGGACACCAGCTCCCAGAGGATGGTCCCAGCCCCCAGAAGGTAGAGGCTGTGGGTTCACAGAGGCCACTGGCTCCGTGTGGCTCTGGAGCAGGGACCAGCTGACAGACTCAGGAAGTGGGGGCAGTGGGTGGCGAGGGCGATAACAATAACAGTAATCCCATTAATAATAACACGGGGGCCTACGAAGGGCCGTGAACTACCCTGTAATGATGGCTCGTATTTATAGATCACCTCTTCAGAGCCATGGCCCAATTAACCCTCCTGCTCCCCTAGGGGGGACAATTAACCCCATATTTTATGGCCAGGGGAAACCGAGGCTCTGAGACAGGGTGTTGCCTGAGGTCACACGGTGTATCAGTGACCGCAGAATGTGGAGTGGCACTGTCTCCCTCCAACCCCCTAACTCCAGGTGATCACGGCGCCCCCAACGGCCTGGCCAGGACCTCAGCCAGGGCCTTACTATGGCACAAGGGTATATACCTTTTTGAGGTGAGGTCTTGCTGTGTAGCCCAGGTTGGCCTTGAACTCGAGGTGATCCTCCTGCCTCGGCTTTCTGAGTGCTGGGATGACAGACATGGGCCACCACACAAAGCTAGGGTATAACCTTCTAGTGCCAGCCACCTGTTCCCCCTGAAAGCCTCACTCACCTCTCCCGTGCCACAGTATGGGAGATGGCAAGGGTAACTCCTAGCGAGAAAAGTCCTGTGCAGCTGGGCATGGTGGTGAATGCCTATAATCCCAGCATTCAGGAGGCTGAGGCAGAAGGATTGCCCAACGTTTGAGGCCTGTGTAGGCTACATATCAAGACCCTGTGTCAGAAAACTAAAATAAAAAGTATGGTACTGGAGCGGGTGACCGAAGGGGACAGTGACGGTGACATTTGGTTTTTGGGTGTTTTTTGTTGTTGTTGTTTTGGTACCGGGGATCAAACTCGTGACCTTACGCTTGGCAAAGCAGATGGCGGAACCACTGAGCCAAATCCCTGGCCTGACATTTGTTGTTTGTTAAGAATGCTGGCCTGGAGAGTCACTTCCAGTTGGTTTGAGCACCGGGGCTGGGGAGCCCCAGGTATTCCTGTCAGGGACGTCAGTGCCCACCGAGGAGGCCATGGGCCGGGGAGTCCTCGGGCCGCCCTGCCCTTGCTTCCAGGCTCTGGGCCTCTGACCCCTGCGGTCCCTCCCCTCCGTTCCCTCCCGGTTTCGCCTCTGAAACTCCAAGGCTCCACGTGGCTGAGATTTTACTAGGGCTCCCAGCTGGGTCCCACTTTGATCTGGCTTCAAAAAATAAAAAGCAGCAGCAGGAGAGCAATTTTCCCTGGGCTGCCGCACGGAGGGAAGGCTGCAGGCAGGTCCTGACCAGCCCTGGAGTCAGAGCTGGCGGCGGGGGCGGGGCCGTCAGAGCGAGGCCTTCTCCTTCCCTTGCCTTCCTCCTCCTCCTCCTCCTCAGCCTCCTTCCATTCCAGGCCGGGCAGAGAAGGGGCTGTGAGCCTCCCCAGGACCCTCTCTCCCGACCCCGCTGTCCCCACACCTCCCTGGCGTGCGGGGCTGGATTGTGGCTGAGGCTCTGCTCCCGCCCTCCCCACCCTGGCCTGTCGCTGGGCGGGGCCTGGTGGTCAAGCCCGTACCCCCTGGCTGGGCCCTGGAGACATTACTCAGGTGGCTCTCCGTGCCAGCTGGGCCCTCTTGGGTGGTTGCGGAGGAAGGGAGGGTCAGCCCTGCCCTGTGTGCCCAGCACCGCCATCACCGGCCACAGGGCCCCACCCTCTTGGGCCTCGCCCGATCTCGGGGACCCTTTTAAGTGGTTCCCGTGCAGCCGGCCGCCACTTCTCAGAGGTCCAGGGCTTCTGCATCCTTATGGGGGCAGGGGACTTCGGGTTCCCCCAGGGTTGGGAAGGAGTCACGGGTCCCATCAGGAAGAAACTGATAGCCGAGTTTGGTTGGACAGGAGCTGAGGGAAAGAGCTGGGTTGGATACCTGCTATTCCTGAGGGTCCCACCTCAGCCCTTCCACTCACGGGGACGTCCATGTCCTTTTTTGGCCTCTTTCTCCCCTCAGGTAAGCAGCTTATCCCACATATACATTCCCAAAGTATTTCCTAAATATGCGGCTCTGAGGCTGAGGCAGGAGGATCCCAGGTTTGAGCCCAGCACGAGCAACTTAGTGACTTAGGAAGATCTTGTCTCAAAACGGAGCCCCCCCACGCACGCACCTGTCCCCACTGCAGGAAGCACGTGCCCCCCAACTGCCCCGAGCTGCAGGGGGAGGAAGTTGCCCCCCTGCCTCCCCTGAGGGAAGATGGGGAGGAAGCAGGGAGCCCCTGTCTCCAGCAGGGCGGGGCAGGTGGGATCCCACAGCGATAACCATCCAGCGGCAGCTCCAACCTGTTCCATGGGTGAGTAATTTCTTTCCTGGAGGAGAAAGGTGAAGGCCTTGGTGGGGAGCAGTGCCGGCTGAGGTGTCCCTGCAGGCTTTGTGCGAGAGCTGTAGTAAATCTCTCACCACCCACAGTTGGGGAGGGGGGCCCGCTACTTTCATGTCCGAGGTTTTACACGGTTGTGCCTCGCCCTCCACCAGGCTCCTCGGCTCCTGCCCCAGCCTCTCCCCAGCCTGTAAAAGTCCAGCCCGTCCATCCGCGAGCCCCCAGTCCCTCCCATGCCAACCGCCACAGCAGGGTGGCAAGGACAGGAGGCCAGAGGCTCCTGAGAGGGGCAACAGCCGCCAGGGCTGCCTCCGCCCATGGCTGCTGCCACCTGGCTGGGTGGGGAGCCTGGGTTCCAGCTTCCGGCCCTGGGGGGAGCCCTGCAGGTCGGAGGCTGTGGTGCCTACTACCTGTCAGTTTTCACCTGTGCCTCCTGAGACAGGTGGCTGTCCGCGTGCCAAGCCCCCAGGGGCAGTTGAAGGTGGCAGGCAGCCCAGTGACTGCCGCTTTCCTGGGGTGAAACAGGGAACCCAGGGAGTGAGAAAAGGGGGTACCACTGGCTGAGCCCCAGAGGGTCAGAGATGACTCACGTGGCCCAGCAGATTCAGTGGGGAACACATTTTTTATGTTTTGTTTGAAGCAGAGTCTCACTGTGTGGCCCAGGCTGGCCTCAGGCTCCTAGCAATTCTCCTGCCTCAGCTTCTGCAGTGCCGGGATGACGGGTGTGCGGCACCACAGCCGACCAGCGCAACATCTTAACGCTCAAGGAGCCAGGGCCCTCACCAGGGACGCGGGCGTGGGGAAAGGGTCAGTGGCAGGTGTGATGGGCCGTGGCAGGCAGGGAGGGGAGGGGTGGGATTGCACAGTGGGTGAGGGCGGGCGAGGGGCGAGGGCTGCAGGGGAGCG